GCTTCCCAGCAGGGGAGGAGGAGGGAAGGTGAAGTGAAAGTAATTTATCACAATTAAGGAACCGTGCTATTTTGTATACATTCCTACATGTGAGGATGAGATTCATACCTGGGTAACCCAGGATTCTCTCCTTATTTTCAGGTCAACTGATTAGCAACTTAATTTTATCTACAACCTTAATTTCCCTTTGCTAGGTTCTGGGAATTATGTGGACATCTTTGGGGGGAGGCATTATTATTATTTTTTTTAATTTTTTTAAAAAAATATATTTTATTAACCCAGGATTCTCTCCTTATTTTCAGGTCAACTGATTAGCAGCTTAATTTTATCTACAACCTTAATTCCCCTTTGCTAGGTTCTGGAAATTCTGTGGACATCTTTGGGGGGAGGCATTATTTTTTTTTTAATTATTTTTTTTTAATTTTTTTAAAAAAATATATTCCAAACCGGTTCCGGCGGGGGGAGGCATTATTCTGCCTACCACACCTACTTCCTCAGCAGGGTGAGGTCTGGGCCTGAAGATGAACACTGGACAACGCAGAACAACCACTGTATCCTTTTATAGTATCTATTTGGGATACTATAAAGGAGGAAAGGCCTTTTAAAATGAGGCAAGGGATTAAAAAATCACAAAGATCAATAAAAGCAGCCCAGCCTCGATGGCTCAGTGGTTGAGCGTTGACCTATGAACCAGGAGGTCACGGTTCCATTCCCGGTCAGGGCACATGCCTGGGTTGCGGGCTTGATCCCCCAGTGTGGGGCGTGCAGGAAGCAGCCAATCAAGGTTCTTTCTCATCATTGATGTTTCTCTCTCTCTCTCTCTCCCTCTCCCTTCTTCTCTGAAATCAATAAAAATATAGTTTTAAAAGTGTATCAATAAAAGGAGGCAACGAACTTGTTCGAGAAAGAGAGATAAAATAAAGCCAGAAGTGTCTGTATGTGGGGTGGGAGTCAAAAGGAGGAGGAGAAGTGAAAGGAATGAGCAGGCAAGAGTTGCTTATCTTAGGCTTCTGTCTGGAGCCATTAGAGAAATGGGGGTCCTCTGGAAGAAGGGTCATGGAGCAGGGCCGCAGTAGCAGCAGCCCCAACTGTAGCTCGGCCACTCTCAGGATGGTGAAGAGACAGCTACCGGACTAGCCTGAACCAGAGGAACATTCTGGGGGCAATACCTCCGGTGTCTTTGGGGGATGAGTGCTCAACCATGAGCCTGGAGGTGTGAATTCTGGTCCAGGTTTTTACCACCTTGAGTAAGTCATGCCCCAGGTGGGCCTTGGTCCCTTCATCAGTAACTGAAGGCGCTGGCCTGCATGACGGCACGGCTTCATTTGAATGGCCTGGTAGTGCTTGTTGGACGTCCAGGACATTGGTTAGTACGGCCCTTTGCTGGGACACACACCAGGCAGGCAGGGCTGTGTGGATGATGTGAAAGCTTCTTGAGCGTGGTTCCCATGAGACCTTGTTCTGTAGAAGGAGCCTCAGGGGCACTGCTGTCCTCTGGACTTCAGTGCTCAGAGTTGCTTACTCTTTGTAACTCTCTCAGCTTTCTCTGTCTGATGAGCCCTTGTTCCTGACTGGATCACTGTTCTGGGGGGTGTGAGCCTTGACAAAGGTGGGGGACAACATGAAGTCTAACTGGCCCTTTGGCCAGGCCACCCTGTTATCCCCTCCCCCCCATTCCCACCCCACCCCTTTACTGGGCTGCCTATCCTCACCACCATGGCTCCAAACCTTGTTCTTCCTCAGGGACTGGGGGTAGGCATCTATGTCTTAGAGCGCTGGTGTCAGTGTTGGGAGATGGGGGCTGGGTCAGGGCTGGGCTCTGAGGCCAAGTGCCAGCGGTGGTGTGCAGACATGAGGGAAGGCCACCGTGTGCTGTGCGCAGGGCCATGACTCTGGGAGGGGAGTGTTCAGGGAGAACAAAGCTTTGAGACCCAGGCTGTAGCTCAGTTGAGGGAGACATGGCACGGACTTTTACCACACAAGTTTATTTAAATAAAAGTGAACACACACACAGGCTGGGTGGCCCAAGGAGGCAGGGGTGGAGAGGTGGGGGGATGGGAGGCAGACGTACAGGAGGGTTAGGGCAGAGTCTGTGTGGTATGAACGGGCTGCGGAGGGAGTGGCTGGGGGCCTCGGGGCAGTGTTGGGCTTTGGGGTTGGGGGGAAGGGGCCCAGGGTGGGTGAGTCTGGTGCCAGGGGGTCATTTTCATCCCTCGCATGCTCCCCTCCCGCTCCCTGACCACCGAGGCCTAAGGCACCCTCTCCTCAGTCCCCCTCTCCCTCTCCCGACATCAGCCTTCCCCTCAACTACTGGGGAGTCAAAAGACAAAATAAATAAGAATTGTGAGTCCTGCCATGGCCCGGCAATGGGGAAGGGAAGCCAAGCCAGGCACACTGCCCTGGAGCCCGTGCTGTGAGCCCTGGGAAAAGAACAGGTAAAGTGCAAGGAAAATCCAGTAAGTAAAAATATACCAATGACTTTGTCAAATATACAGCTGCTGGCTGTCAGGGGAGCAGGCGGCTGGCGGGGGCGGGTGGCACAGCACCCTGGGAAGTGTTGGCCGAAACAGCATAGAGACAACGGAAATAAATAGGGGTGGGGAATGAATGGGCAGGGGTCCCACCCACTGGCCAGTGCGGGCCTCTGCCTGCCCATCTGCCCCATCCCCTCCAGCCCCCTCGCCTGACTCCCCAATGCTGCGGCACTGACACAAAGCACCCGGCCGACGCTCTAAGGAAAGGATTATAATGTGGGGGTGGTCGTGGGGTCGGGGGCGTGCAGTCAGCCAGGGCTGGAGCCGCCCTCAGTACTCGTCCTGTTCTTCTTGTTGGTGTTCCTCAATCTCGTCGTCCTCAGGGGGTGCAAAGCCTTCCTGGAGGTGGGAAGGGAGAGGACGGGGTGAGCCAGGCAGGCGGGCGGGGGTGTGGATTGTGTAGGTAGCTGGGGAGCAAGGTTCCAGTCCTTTCCCTTCTAACGCTCTCTGAGACCTGGGGCTTGTGACTGCAGCTCGCTGTCCTCACCATCCATGTTCTCCAAGGCTCCTTCGGGTCCTGTCTCTTCCCATCTTAGGCCAGGCGGGATGGGGGAGGGCCCAGGGGACCGGGACATTGGCGGGTGCAGGCGGGGCTCACCTCGGTGGCATAGAGAATGCCAATGATGCCCGCGATGACGGGGCTGTTCTCGCTCTCGTGTTCCTGGCAGATGAGCTCGATGTCTCGGAGTTTGCTGAAGTAGAAGTCACGCTCCTTCTCCAGCCCATCCACGGTCAGCTTCAGATCCAACAGCTGCGTGGGCGAAGGTGGGGTTCCAGCCACAGGTCCCGCCTCAGGCTCCCCTTCCCACCCCGACACCCGTGGGCCTGGCTGTGGAGGCAGGGTTGTCTCAGCTACCCCCGCCCACCCCACTCACCTGCTGGTTAAGTTCAAGAATTTGGGCATCAGTCTCATGGCCGCCGTTTCGGGCCGATGGGGGATTCTTCCGGAGGATGCAGGGTGGGGCCACGTTGCTCAGCCGGCCGGAGGTCTGCATGTTTTTGGGGCCTGTGGGGGACGTCCTCTGTGGAACTGTGCGGGGGAGGAGATTCAGAGGGGCTATGTGAGCCCAGAGCCCCGGTGGCAAGAGACGGCCTGGTGTGAAGAGTGTGCGGCAGGCCCCTGCTAAAGGCAGGTGCTCTGCCCTCCTCTCCTCTCCCACTCGGGGGCTCCACATCTAGACCTCACGCCACGGCCACACATGACACCATAGCAGCTGGGCAGCCCTTTGCAAGCCTGGGAGAGCAGGGACTACAGGGAATTGAGGAAGGTGAGGTGTGGGGAGGGAGGAGAGCTGGCGGAGGGAGACATGAGGGAAATAGGGTTAGGGAACTGGGGAAGTGGGGCTGGGAGGGTTGGCGCCTCTTGTACTGACAGCTGAAGCCCGAGGGAAAGCAGCTGGGGCAGGGTCTCGAGCTAGTTCTCCTGGCAGCCCAAAGCCACTCTCCATATGGGTGACCTCCGAGTCTCGGGACTGGAGGACAGAAAAGACACCTGTCCTGCCGCTCCCGCTGCCTGCCTCAGGACAAGCATGCTGTGGCTCTTGCTCTCTAGCTGCGCAGCTCCCTAGGCAGAGCCGCTGCTTCTAACGCAAAGCAAGCAGGTGAGGGGGCCAGGCCCAGGCGGGGCAGCAGCGCAAACAGGAGGGCTCTGCTATGACGGGTTCAGATGCGGGCTGGGCCGCTCCGCTCCCCTTCTCTCCCGACCCTCCCGCCCCCCAAAGCCCTTTGCTTCTTTCCCTTCTTCTCTAGAACCCCGACAAAGCCTTGTTTCCAGAGGCTCGTCTCTTGAGGACTTAGGACTCTGGGCCTGTGGAATGGGGGAAGATATGACCGAGCCTGGCAGAGTACCGCCCCCGGGCATCCAGTGGGCAGGGGGCCAGAGGATGTGTAGTGCAGGCACCAGGCCCTTGGCCTGGATGGACCCGGATGGAGAAACCATGCCACGTGCTGCCCCATCATCTCGAGGCAAACCTGTCAGCTCCTGCTGCAGAGGGAAGGGCCTGGGCCTCACCGCCAGCTGCCACCTTGGCTGGTGCCAGTGGCTCTCATTCTGTGGCCGTCTTTGGAGCCCTCTCCTCCCTGCCGTGACTCCCCCTGGTCTAAGGGGGCAGCAGGCGGCGTCATCTGAACTCCGTGATAACAGTCTCCTCTAGGCGGGCAGGGCCGGGCGGGCGAGTGGCCCAGGAGGCACTCCTGGCTGGCCCGGCCCCACACACTCCCTCCCCCAGCATGTTACCTGCTGTGCCAATGAGTTTCTTGGATTTGTTGAAGATCTGATCACCTGGGTTAGGAGGTGGCGCTACGTCCTGGCCCTGCCGCGCCAGCAGAGGGTTGTATTCCTTTCCATCATAGTTTGCGTCAAAGAATTTCTTAAACCACTGAATAAACTCAAAATTATCTTGGAATTTTCCTTTCACTAATTTCTCTACAGGAATTATCTGAAACAGACCACATAAGCAGAGAACTTTAGCCACCTGCATAGAGGGCTGCCTTCCTCTGTGAGGGCCCCGCTCGCAGGAGAGCCAGCCCCTGGCTGCAGTGGCTGCCCCTCCCATGGCGCCAGGACACAGGAGAAACTGGGTGGGGGGAGTGCTGTGGTGCTGCTGCCTCCATGTGGGGTGGGGGCTGCTGGAGCCAAGGGCCTGGGGCCGAGGCAGGAGGTGAGCAAAGGCCTTTTCTTGGGCCCTAGGGAAGGAAGGAATAGGAGTACCAAGCCTCAATGGGTGGCTATGGTCCAGAGAGGAGGAAGGGGCAGGCATGCCATTGGGATGGGATGGGAGGAATGTGGGGTTCCCACTGTGCCTTGAGCTGGGGGACGTTCCCTCGGAGAGCAGGGGGTGGAGAGAGGCGCAGATGGAAGGGCCCTTTGCCCTGTTGGTGGGCCGCCTTCTTCCCAAGGTCACACAGCTCCTCAGGGCCCCGGGAGCACAGGCACCTACTTTGTCAACACCCATCTTCTTAAAAGCGGCTTGCAGCACCTTGAAGTTCTGGATGTACTCGTGCTCCAGCTTGGCCTGGAACTTCACCTTCCTCAGGTGCACGCAGCCAGGGAAGAGCATGTCCATGAACTGGCAGTAGGCTGCCCCTGAGGAGAAGCAGGGCTGACTGAGGGTCCAGGCCGCTCCCCTGCCGAGGCTGCTTGCTTCCCCTTCAGCCAGCCCCTCTGCCGGCCTCCTCCCCCAAACCACCCAGCTCCTCATTTCTCTCCTTGTTCTGGGGCGTAGCCAGTCCTACTCACAGGAAAGATGCCGCCAGAATCCCCCAGCGTTCCAAGAATAAGAGCAATTACTACTCATTGATGCAATTATGTGCCGGCACCATAGCAAACACTACATTATGTAATCTAATCTAACAGTAATCCTAGTGAGATAGGTGATATAATCTCCATTTTACCGATGGGAAAACTGAGGCCTAGAGAGGTGCAGTGAGTGCCCAGGGTTGCACTACAAGAAGAGCTGAGGTTTGGACCCAGAGGGGCTGGGCTGGCCCTTCTGCTGTCAGCCCCTGGCTTCACTGCCTGTGCCATTGCCCCGCCCCTCCTACAGCCCTTGCCTGTGCCCCTCCTGCTCTTCCCCATCGGTGGAGGCCCTTCAGCTCCAAACACTGACTAGTTCGGGCCTCTGCAGCTCTCCTCCTAAACCCTGATTACAAGTTACAGTCTCTGCTGTGTCTGTTTTGCCTCCTGCCTCCCCGCCAGCAGGGCCCACTTCCCCCTCCCAGCCTCCTACCTGAACAGAGCTGTTCTATCTTGGTATAGTTGAGGTGCAGGGAGTCATTGACCCACGCAAGCATATCATGGCGACTCAGATTCTCACTGGTCACGGATGTGGAGTACACATTGACGGCCATACCCCAGCTGCAAAGAACGGAGAGAGGCAAGGTCAGCACCAGGGACCCGCGCGGCTCTTTACCTGTTAGGAGAGCAGGCGTGGGGTGATCCCTGGGGAACGAGAGCTGTCTTCCTCCAGACAGCCTTGCATTTTCCCTCCTGGAGAGGGGACCTCTTCATTCTTTAAACATCTAATGAGCATCTCCTATATGCTAGAGGCGTGTTGAGAACGGGTGCAACACAGTTAAGATGTGGTCACTCCTTCGAAGAGTTTACAGACAGGCAAATCCCCACACATCAGGGCACATGCAGAGTTCAGGGACTGCACAAAGGGAGGGACCGCTTCTGTTGGCAGGCCAGCAAAGGCTCCCAGGCGGAGACGTGGAGGGGAAGGAGTAGGAATTTCCCAAACATACAAAGGGATGTAGGAGGCACTGCATGAACCAGGGCCTGGCTTATTCCAGGGCTCCCAGTTGCTCGGCGGAGCTGGGGAGCAGGCTCGTGTTGAGCACGGCAGAGCGAGCATGGCACAGCGCGATTGGCAGGGATCACGAAGGACTTTGTTCACGGGAGGAGGAGTCTGGCCTTCTGTTTAGACAATGGGAAGGTGTTGAAGCAGACACTGTCCTGGCCAGACTGCGTTTTAGAAAGCCAGCTAACCTTTGCCTGACCGGATCCCATATTCCTGTGGGGCCTGTGGTGTGTGGCCTGCTGGCTGACCCAGGGGCACCTACATTCTGCTTGTCCAGAACCTTAAGACATGCTGCTGGCCCTGGCTGGTTTTGCTCTGTGGATAGAGCATCAGCCTGTGGACTGAAGGGTCCCGGGTTCAATTCCAGTCAAGGGCATATGCTCCGGTTGCGGGCTTGATCCCAGGTGGGGGCCTGCAGGAGGCAGCCGATCAATGATTCTCTCTCATCACTGACGTTTCTCTCTCTCTCTCCCTCTCCCTTCCTTTCTGAAATCAATAAAAAAAAAATATTTTTAAAAAAGACATGCTTCTGCTCCTGTATTCATTATCCCCATGAATGTCATCACCAGTCCCCCAGTCCCCAGGCTAGATAGCCCACTCCCCCTCATCCTCATATCGAATCAAGTCCTGCAACTCTGCCTTCCCAATGGCCCTGCTCTTCTCCATCTCTCCTGCCACCTTGGGGGTTATGTGGACATTCTCTGGCCAAGGCCAGCAGAAGCCTCCTGGAAGGCCTTGCAGCCTCCGGTCTCCCCCAGGCCCCCCTGACACTACTGCAGTCAGAACCCACCTAAACGCAGCCCTGGCCACATCACTCTTAGCTTAAAGCCCTGGCAACCAGCAGTCACAGAGGAGACACCCATTGGCAAAATTTGCCTTGCAGACTTGAACTCTAGAACTCACAGTGCTGGAAACATTTTTGAATTAGTGCCCATTATTTTAAAGTTGGGATGCGCCACGCAAACAATTTGGGACTTCTGGCCTCTTCTAGCGATCCTGGGCGCATGCTCCCTGCACAGAACCTATGTTGGAGCTGAGCAGAGCAGGTGGAAGCCCCTCCCTCAATCTCCCCAGCAAAGGCCAAGTGCCAGCTGTTATCACTGACATGCACTGTGAAGGGAAGAGGGAAATATTTCTTGTAACTAGGCTTTATCAGAAATGGAGAAAGAGAAGATAGACTGAAGGACTATGTACTCAGAATTGACAGTGCGTAGTTCTGGAGTGAAGAATATTCCTCTAGGCTTAATATGCAAAGTGTCCCTGAAGGAAGAATGCACCCAGCCCTCTTCCCTGTCCAGACCTAATCTGCTGCTTTATCAGGTCTGGTCTGGAACCAAAAGGGAATGACACGTAGCCATGCACTCCCGAGGCTTTGCACTGGGAGAGGACCTGAGCTTCTCCTGCAGACTTTCCAATAGGCTGGAGTGAAGCCCAAGTCATGCGTGTGCATGTATATGTGAATAACTATACATATTATATGTAACTATTCCATTTATTATCTATTATATAGTATCATACATAATAGACCATATGTTATGTATATAACTATATAATACACTATCCTATATAATAAAAGCCTAATATGTTAAGTGTTCGGTGGACCGGTCAGCTGTTCAACCAATCAAAACGTAATATGCTAATGATATGCTAAGGCCACTCAACCACTCCCTATGACGTGCACTGACCACCAGGGGGCAGACGCTCTGACCAGTAGGTTAGCTTGCTGCTGGGGTCCAGCAGATCAGGACTGAGGGAGATGAGCCGGACACACCCTGGAGCCCTCCCATGGTCTCTCCCCGGCTGGCCAACCTCCTGTGTCCCTCCCTGACCCTGATTGTACACTGGTGGGGTCCCTTGGCCTGGCCTGTGCCCTTTCACAATTCATGACCCCTTGGGGAATGCCGGAGAGCCAGTTTCGGCCCAGTCCGCAGGCCAGGACAAGGGACCCCACTGGTGTACTAATTCATGCACTGGGCCTCTAGTATAATACACCATGTAGAATATATAGTATCTCATATATATTTATACATATGTATATGTATACACATGTATACATATACATATGTATGCATATACACATGTATACATATACACGTGTATACATATATTGCACACACGTATACATTTACATATACATATACACATGTATACATACACGTATATTACATATACACATACACATGTACACACATTCATATGTATACATATACACATATTACATATACACATACACATATACACATACTACGTATATGTAATTTTAAAAACACTGCAGGTGATACTGGTGCCCAAGCAGACCAGGGATTGGAACCGCAGTCCTCATCTGATACTAGGATCAGTGCCCTTGCCTCCACTCAGGACGGCGTCAGGGTCTCCAAGTGATGCCACCCCTGCCCTGACTGGGTCCATTGTGGCTCAGAAGAATTCCTCCAAGGCACCAGGGGTCCCAGCAAGGATTCCCTGTCACACTTGTTCAAAGGTCACCAAGAAAGCAGTTCCCTTACACCTCATATGACAGGGACGGCCGGATGCCCTCTTAATTTTCCTCTCCAAATCTTACAGATTTGGCCCTGTAAATACAGTACAACTAAATTATGGCCAGCAGGTGGCACCCAGGTCCTGAGCAAAGACTCCTTGAAAAGTTTCCTCATCCTCCAAACCCCCTCTCCCTAGCTTCATTTAGAAAAGGAGGGCCCCTAAATTTGATCTGGTTCCCCACAGAAGAGCCTGTCTGGGTCCAAAGTTGGTAGTGCCAGGGCAGGGGGGTGATGGAGTGCTTCTTCCTGGGCAGCTCTAAGAAGGGCTGGACCAACTGGAATGGCTTAGGATTGGGTCTGCTCTAAGATTCGGGACTAAACTAACCCAACTTCCCTATTCCCCAAAGTCACATGTTAAACTCATCCACAGGTCCAACTTTTTTTATTCGGGGCTGACTCAGGCCTAGACTCAAACCAGACCAGCTTCTGGGGGCAGAGGTATATAAAGCATTTGGCCCTAAGAAGACCAGTCGCCTCCCATTAGAGTAGAGACATAGTCTGAGAAAACTCTGAAGTTAACATACTCCTTGGCAAGGGCTGCCCAGAGAGGGGAGGCTCTGTCCGAGGGCTAAATAGTGGGGTCTTCCAACACAGTCCCCTTGTTTCTACCGTATTCATTGGGACATGGTGACTGCCACAAGAAACAACCCCAATTTGTTTGACGTGTCACCCTCTAGGGCCCTTGAAATACCGTTCAGGATTAGACAGAGGACGTGACCTTGGGGAAAGCCTGCTCTGCAGGGTCTGGACTCCTGCGCCCAGGGGTGCAGTCATGGGACAGAAAGGTTGAGGAGGTTTAATCTGGTGAATTTGCTAAATCATTTCCTAAGCTAGGGTCACGGTGCATTGACTGACAGAAAGGCTGTGTTAGCTCTCATCAGGAGGGGTGGAGCGGACGGTCATTCTGCCTGAGGCCTTGCAAATGGTCATCTTGACCAAATCTCATCCCACAGCCGGAAGAGTTTTGAGAGATCACCCAGTTCCTTCCCAGACACTTAGGACTGCACATAGATCTAGGTCTTTATATTCCTAAAGCATAACCAAGTCTGCATAATTCTGAAATTTCACATGTAATATTTAAGAACCTTGTCACCAGACCAAATCTAATTTTGGCTTTTTGTTTTTCAGTCTTCAGTGGAAATCTGTCTTCTACAAATATATCTTGAAGATAGTTCAGGATAAAGAAGCCCCACAGTCTTCTTTAATTCTCTGGTCCCTAGAGGATCCCTCTGAGGTTCCCAGGCCTCTACCCTCTGCCCAGCATGACAATGAAAGACAAACCAGGTCTTTCCCTCCTGCAGTGGGTGCTGGGCGTGCTGCCAGCAGGCTCTAGAGGATGCTGCTTAAAGAATACTGGGTCTCCAGTCAGACCACTTGAGTTTCAATCCTGGCTCTACCCAATCCTAGCTGTTTGACACTGGGCCTCAGTTTCCTCATCTATAAAATGGGAACAGTAACAGTTCCCACCTCCTAGAGCTGATATGAGATTACTGAGCCATGTATACGAAGTGCTGAGCAGAGCCTGGCACCTAGTAAGCACCAGGTGAGTGTTATCAGCGTTACTGGGGTAGGCAGCGAGAAATCAAGGCCCTGGTTTGAGAAGCAAGTGCCCAATGCACATCAGCTTCGGGTGTCCAAGATGCCAGTCCAGGGGGGACTATACACTGTGCTTTTCTCTGCCCCTTTGGCCTGGAAAGAGCCACTTGGGCTTCCTGAAGGTTGGCCTGTGACCACGATACCCCCCCAACTCCAGATTTTCCTTAGATTCTGCTTTGTAGATGCCATCCTACCGGCCAGGAAAACTGGAACAGATGCTGTGGGATCAGAAGAGAGAGAAGTCTGCGGAGCCTGCCAAACGTTCCCTGCTCCTGACATGGGGCATGCCCATTGTCACTGGGCTACCCCTTCCGTCCAGGCCCAGGGGAGCTAAAGTCACCTGTTTGGAAAATCTGCGATATTGCTCTCCCTTGCCCCCGGGATCAGACATCAAGGTTATTCTGGGGTTACATGGAGGCAAT